TTAATTAACAAACGGAGACGTAACAATATATTATTTATCTAACCACTCACGACCCGAGTCTTTGCAGCTATTGCTGAACATGCTATTATAAAATTATCCTCACGAAATGAAGCATTGTTCGTTAAAGCTTACCGTCTAATCACATTCCACCTCTGCATTTTCCACGAAATGATGAATATTAAAATATCTAAAACTGAAGACGTTCAATCGAATATTACACGCATTTTATAATGAAGTTTGACCAATGTAGTGACTTCGGCCGATCTAAGATAATTCTGGGTATTGCCACAGCTATATTGCTATATTCCAAATGATAGACTGTCCCCATTCCTATGTTTCTGAACAACCTAACATCATATTAAAAACAACAGCTTCATATATGGTTCATTTTAAGAGAAATAAGTAGTTAAAAATTATTGTTTTCCTCCTTGTTGAAAAACATATAGTAATTAAAGAAGACAGACACGAAACAAATTTACATCGGTAGATATAATATTCTGAACTAGAGTGTGACAACTATAGCATATATGTGTATATTAATATTTATATGAATATGTTTTGATAATTTGAATGGCAAATTGCTCTCCATAGCCACTAGGTTAAAATTAATGATTTAAGGTCCTAGGGGTACCTGAAATGAGGAAATGGCGTGGAGGGCTGCGTCTGTGTTAAGCTTATCTCGACAGGTGCGGTTTGAATTTGACTTTGGGCGGAGTATTATTTTTAATTAATTTTAAGATAATATATTTGATAATAATACATTAACATTAAGACCATTATATTTTTGACACTACATTCTTTATTAGGGTTTTTACAAGAAGAAGAAGAGTGTATGATAGTATTTTAATCATACTAGATCAGTCAATCCATTGCCGACGACGCATTTCGCTTTTTATAGAGCTCATCAGCCCGGCTGGGACACATCAAACACAGGAGATGAATAGAGAATGTAGTTTTAAAAATGCAATGGGCCTAATATTAATTGTTACGACAGCAAACGTCACGTGACGCTGGTAACACGTCATGAGTTTCTAGAAGGATCATGACTTTTCTTGTCAACTCTAGCCTTTTCCAGGCGCCCTCTATTTTAG